GAGCCCAATGTCTTTCCAGTGTTGGAATTTTTCTCACTTTCTCTCCAAATACCATAGTAACCGTTTTCTTACCATTTTCAGGCTCGGTAGTGAAAAACCAAGATTTTGCGGCACTCTAAATAATTCATATTCGCAATCTATAGTCCATTGGCTTTCTGCTAATGCTTTATTCAAGTATATACAGGCCGTTTTTGGACATAAAAATGGCAGGTGTTTCCGAGTGTATTATCGAAAAGAATTTTTTGAGAAGCCGCGTGCTCTATTCCGTTTGAGGCCCTGTATAGAAAACCAAAGAATTTGCGCCACTGTAAACAATTCGTGTTAGAAATCTATAGTTCATTGGCTTTCCGCTAATACTTTATTCAAGTATACGAAGGCTGTTTTTGGACATGAAAATGGCAAGTGTTTCCGAATGTATTATCGAAAAGCCGGAATTTTTGAGAATTGACAAAATGCAGGTATGAGTCTTAGGCTCGTGTTGTATTCCTTTTGAGGCCCTGTATAGAAAGACCAAGAATTTGTTACGCTGTAAACGATTCATATTTGAAATCTATAGTCCATTTGCTTTCCGATCACTGAAAGCAATTCATATTCGAAATTTATACTAGTCTACTGACTTTCTGCTAATGCTTCACTGAAGTATATGCAGACATACGATTCAGATCAATTCAGCATATTTTTTTAAAAAAAATCGCTATGAAAGGCGTGGATGCGATACGAATCCACCGACGCTGAGCACAATGGATTACCAGTCTATCACAATCCATCCCCCACACGGCCATGTGCAGAGCACAATGGATTAGCAGTCGTCCATAGGCTTAACCACTAGGCCTCCTCTTCAGGACTGGAGAAGCATTAAAATTGTAGTCATGTTTTTCTTAATTTTCGACTAATTACTGATAGACAATGAATGCCGAAATTTTTCACTTGAAAATAACTTTCTATTTCTATTTTTTTCAGAACCGTTTAATCAACTGCTTTTTGCAGTGCTGTTTTTCTTTAAGAAATTGTGAAAGATCTGGATCGGCGATTCGAATCCACACACGTGGAGCATAATGGTTAGCAGCCAATCACAATCCAAAAATTCATATCCCCACACGGCAATCTCTTCGAATACGACGCAAAATTTTAAGAAATAAGTGATCGACGAGGATGGGATTCGAACCCACGGGTGCAGAGCACAATGGATTAGCAGTCCATCGCCTTAACCACTCGGCCACCTCGTCTGTACTGGGGAAGTTTTAATTTTTTTTTCCAAAGGTCGTAAGTTCGATTCCCACCGTGGCCAGGCATATTTTTCAAGCTTGTCCAGTGTGGATATACACTCAGAGTAACATCACAAAACAAGTATTAAAATTGTAGTTATGCTTTTCTTAATTTTCAACTAATCACTGATAGATAATGCCGAAATTTTTCAGATGGAAATAACTCTCTTTTTCTAATTTTTTCTATATAGTTAGTCGACTAGTTTTTTCTATTTTGTGGATGGGGATTCGAACCCACTCGCGCTGAGCACAATGGATTAGCAGTCTATCGCAATCGAAACAATTCATCCCCCATTCGGCAATCCCATCTAATTGGACGCAAAATGGGATTGAGGATGGGATTCGAACCCACGCGTGCAGAGCACAATGGATTAGCAGTCCATCGCCTTATACCACTCGACCACCTCGTCAGAACAGGAGAAGTATTAAAATTGTCGTCATGTTTTGTTAATTTTCAAGTAATTACTGATAGATAATGCCGAAATTTTTAAGATGGAAATAATGATCTATTTCTATTTATTTCAAAATCGTTAGTCGACAAGTTTTAATTTGCTATTTTGTGGATGCGATTCGAACCCACTCGCGCTGAACACAATGGATTTGCAGTCTATCGCAATCGAAACAATTCATCCCCCATTCGGTAATCTCATCCAATTGGACGCAAAAGTTTAAGAAGAAAATAACCGACGAGGATGGGATTCGAACCCACGCGTGCAGAGCACAATGGATTAGCAGTCCATCGCCTTAACCACTCGGCCACCTCGTCAGAAGTGGAGAAGTATTAAAATTATAGCCATCTTTTTCTTAATTTTCAACTAGTTATTGATAGATAATGCCGAAATTTTTCAGATGGAAATAATTATCTATTTCTATTTTTTTCAAAATCGTTAGTCGACTAGTTTTTGCTATTCTGTGGATGCGATTCGAACCCACTCGCGCTGAGCACAACGGATTTGCAGTCTATCGCAATCGAAACAATTCATCATTTAGAACTGCACATATAGGGATGTTACGAAGGCAACGGGTGTTTGGCTGGGGTGGGGGGGGGAGGGTCGAAGGATATAGGTGACAGAATAATGTGTGGTTGGGTGGGAGAAAGACCAGACAAATTCGATTTTGGGTGCGGGAGCTAGAGGGTGTTCCCCAAAACAATTTGAATCTAGAGGCTCTTAAGTTCTGAAAAAGATTTGTTTTACTCAGCCACTCACCAAAAACTGTTTCAAAACATGTAACTGAAAATCATGGATATTCAATATATAACACCTTAAATTTACATTTGAGGCAGCAAAGAATATTAGGTTCTCCCACTCTAATCTCTTTTGGAGGGCTTCGCTTACGGCCCCAATTTCACTTCTTTTCCATTACCCGAGCACGTAAGTGATTTGTAAGGAAAATAGGAGGGTTTAAGGGGCCGATTACATGGAGCATTTTCAACCACGGGGTTGAACTCAGCCCTGTTTACAGGGTTGAAATTTCAGCCCTGTCTGTAATACAAAACTCTATCAAAATCAAACGCGCGATTACATGTCAAAATTTTCAATCCAGGGCTGAGTTCAACCCCCGGGTTGAAATTTCAACCCTGCGTTAATATTTGTGATGCTCAATTAATGACAACGTTACTGGGATTTTCTGGAGTATCCACAAGGGTAACGAGTAAATGAGAAGACTGTTTTATAATCAAAGCTATTTTTGTTAGTTTGGTGACTGCACATTTGTGTTTTAAGAACTGCACAAATGGGTTTAGAACTGCGCATTTTGTGTAGAACTGCACATTAAAATAAACCCTGCGGTAATCTCATCTAATTGGACGCAAAAGTTTAAGAAGAAAGTAAACGACGAGGATGGGATTCGAACCCACGCGTGCAGAGCACAATGGATTAGCAGTCCATCGCTTTAAACACTCGGCCACCTCGTCTGGACTGGAAAAGTATAAAAATTGTAGCCATCTTTTTCCTAATTTTCAACTAGTTATTGAAAAATAATTCCGAAATTTTTCAGATGGAAATAATTATCTATTTCTATTTTATTCAAAATCGTTAGTCCACTAGTTTTTGCTATTTTGTGGATGCGATTCGAACCCACTCGCGCTGGGCACAATCGATAGCAATCTATCGCAATCGAAACAATTCATCCTCCATTCGGTAATCTCATCTAATTGGACGCAAAAGTTTAAGAAGAAAGTAACCAACGAGGATGGGATTCGAACCACGCGTGCAGAGCACAATGGATTAGCAGTCCATAAAAGCCCACCTATAGCTCGTGTTGACTGGAGATGTATTCAAATTTTAGCCATGTTTTTCTTAATTTTCAATTAATTACTGGTAGATAATGGCGAAATTTTTCACATGGAAATAACTCTCTATTTATTTTCTCGAAATGGTTAGTCGACTAGTTTTTGCAATTTTTCTTTAAGAAATTATGAAAGGCGTGAATGCGATACGACGCTTAGCACAACGGATTACCAGTCTATCACAATCCAAACAATTCAGACCCCGGCCCACACGGTAATATCATCTAGTTTGACGCAGAGTTTAAGAAGTAAGTGATCGACGAGGATGCGATTCGAATACACACACGCTGAGCATAATGGATTAGCAGCCTATCACAATCCAAAAATTCATCCCCCCACACGGAAATCTCATCGAATTGGACGCAATATTTTAAGAAATAAGTGATCGACGAGGATGGGATTCGAACCCACACGTGCAGAGCACAATGGATTAGCAGTCCATCGCCTTAACCACTCGGCCACCTCGTCTGGTCTTGTACGGAAGAAGTATTAAAATTGTAGTAATGTTTTTCTTAAATTTCAACTAATTAATGATAGGTAATGCCGAAATTTTTCAGATCGAAATAACTCTCTATTTCTATTTTTATGATGGAAATAACTCTCTATTTCTGTTTCTATTTTTTTCAAAATCGTTAGTCGACTAGTTGAATGGGATTCAAGCCCACTCGCACTGAGCACAATGGATTAGCAGTTCATCCCCCATTCGGTAATCTCATCTAATTGGACGCAAAAGTTTAAGAAGTAAATAACCGACGAGGATGGGATTCGAACCCACGCGTGCAGAACGCAATGGATTAGCAGTCCATCGCTTTAACCACTCGGCCACGTCGTCAGAACTAGAGAAGTATATTAAGGGGCCGATTACATGGAGCATTTTCAACCCCGGGGTTGAACTCAGCCCTGTTTACCGGGTTGAAATTTCAGGCCTGTCTGTAATACAAAACTCTATCAAAATCAAACGCGCGATTACATGACAAAATTTTCAACCCAGGGCTGAGTTCAACCCCGAGGTTGAAATTTCAACTCTGCTTCAGCTAGCAGGGTTGAAATACCAACCCTGGGGTTGAACTCAGCCCTGGGTTGAAAATTTGTCATGTAATCGTTTCAACCCAAGGCTGAAATTATCATGAGTTATTCGAGCGTACGTGGTAGTGACTATTTATTACAAGAAAACAAAATAAAGGCTTTTTTACTTCCGAGAACGTATAGTATAGCGTTTCAACCCCGGGGTTGAAATCGTCCATGTAATCGCAAGTGGATTAACAGTCTATCGCAATCGAAACAATTCATCCCCCATACGGTAATCTCATCTCATCTCATTTGGACGCAAATGTTTAGTAGGATGGGATTCGAACCCACGGGTGCAGAGCACAAGCAGTCCATCGCCTTAACCACTCGGCCACCTCGTCAGAACTGGAGAAGTATCAAAATTGTAGTCATGTTTTGTAAATTTTCAAGTAATTACTGATAGATAATGCCGACATTTTTAAAACGGAAATAATTATCTATTTCTATTTTTTTCGAAATCGTTAGTCGACAAGTTTTTGCTATTTTGTGGATGCGCTTCGAACCCACTCGCGCTGAGCACAATGGATTAGAAGTCTATCGCAATCGAAACAATTCTTCCCCCATTCGGTAATCTCATCTAATTGGACGCAAAAGTTAAGAAGAAAGTAACCGACGAGGATGGGATTCGAACCCACGCGTGCAGAGCACAATGGATTAGCAGTCCATCGCCTTAACCACTCGGCCACCTCGTCTGGACTGGAAAAGTATTAAAATTGTAGTCATCTTTTTCTTAATTTTCAACTAGTTATTGATAGATAATGCCGAAATTTTTCGGATGGAAATAATTATCTATTTCTAGTTTTTTTAAAATCGTTAGTCCACTAGTTTTTGTTATTTTGTGGATGCGATTCGAACCCATTAGCGCTGAGCACAATGGATAGCAGTCTCTCACAATCGAAACAATTCATCCTCCATTCGATAATCTCATCTAATTCGACTCAAAAGTTTACGAAGTAAGTAACCAACGAGGATGGGATTCAAACTCACGCGTGCAGAGCACAATGGATTAGCAGTCCATAGCAGCCCACCTAGCTCGTGTTAACTGGAGATGTATTCAAATTTTAGTCATGTTTTTCTTAATTTTCAATTAATTACTGGTAGATAATGGCGAAATTTTTCAGATGAAAATAACTCTCTATTTCTATTTTTTCGAAATGGTTAGTCGACTAGTTTTTATAATGGAATAACTCTCTATTTCTTTTTCTAATCTTTTCAAAATCGTTTGTCGACTAGTTTTTGCTAATGGGATTTGAACCCACTCGCGCTGAACACAAAATGGATTAGCAGTTCATTCCCCATTCGGTAATCTCATCTAATTGGACGCAAATGTTTAAGAAGTAAGTAACCGACGAGGATGGGATTCGAACCCACGCGTGCAGAACACAATGGATTAGCAGTCCATCGCCTTAACCACTCGGCCACCTCGTCAGAACTGGAGAACTATTAAAATTATAGTCATGTTTTGTTAATTTTCAAGTAATTACTGATAGATAATGCCAAAATTTATACGATGGAAATAATTATCTATTTCTATTTTTTTTTCAAGATCGTTAGTCGACAAGTTTTTGCTATTTTGTGGATGTGATTCGAACCCACTCGCGCTGAGCACAATGGATTTGCAGTCTATCGCAATCGAAACAATTCATCCCCCATTCGATAATCTCATCTAATTGGACGCAAAATTGAAGAAAGTAACCGAACCGACAGTTCGAACCCACTCGCGAAACGACGATTCGAACCCACTCGCGCTGAGTACAATTTTAAGCAGTAATTAACCGACAAGGATTGGATTCGAACCCACGCGTGCAGAGCACAATGGATTAGCAGTCCATCGCCTTAACCACTCGGCCACCTCGTCAAGACTGGAGAAGTATTAAAATTGTAGTCTTGTTTCCCGAAATTGCCGAAATTGCCGAAATTGTTCAATTGAAAATAACTTTCTATTTCCAGTTTTTTTCAGAATCGTTTCATAGTGGACTGGTTTTTGCTCTTTTTCTTTAATGGATGCGATTCGAATCCACTAGCGCTGAGCGCACTGGATTAGCTAGCAGT